GCAGGTTTCACTAAGAACCTGCCAGCCCTCACTGAGCTTCCTGACTTCAGGACAGAGGAGAGATGCCACAGGGAAAAGACTTGTGCTGATTCAGAACAGAAGCCAACCGCAGATGTGAGAACTAAACTTTTGAGCCATCTGGACATTCTTGCATCAAGGAGGGAGGAGACCTCTGTGGATGAAGGGATGAAGCCCCAAAATGTTTATACTACCCAGCCGTCGTACAAATCCTCTCATCAGACGGTTTCTCCATCCCACATGAATTTGGTCAATGTGTCTGTGAGGTGTAAAAGCAGGGAGATGTACATGCAGGGAGGTGACTCGAGGAAAGCCGAAAACCATTTGGATTCACAGCGTCAGAGAAAACCTGTCCTCATCCAGGAGGCTCCTGTCAGGGATGAGAAACAGAACGATTGGAGCATGACTAGTGGTGACTCTGACACAGACTTCCAAGTCCCCAGACTGTCCTACTCAGAGAGGAAAGTGGAACCAGTGAAACCCTTTTCTGCGTCGGCTGCATCAGCCAGCAACATAGGGGAATTCGGCAGTCTCAGCCCTGATGTTTCTGACCTCACTGTTTATAATGAGATTTCTAAGAAGACTCCTGACACAGAGACATTTGTGCATGCAAAGAGGAGTGTGCACAGAGAGCCTACACCTGGCTCTGAATGTGAGAAGCTGCAGGAAGGCTGGTCAAGGCCTCCGTTTTCTGAGTTGAGGCAGCGCCAACAGGACAGCGGCTTTGACAGTCCCTTCTACCAACAGAAATAACAAGCGAAGGGCAGACATGAGGTAAAGTTTCAGTTAGCTTATCAAATGGTGCCTTACAGTGTCAAGTGTTTACATTATATAAAATTTTGTCCTGAAGGTGCTTGAACTTTGTGTTTGTTGAGTTATTTGTTAGGCAGAGTTTGATCTGTTGGCAGCTTTTTTTCTTTGCTTGGTGAGGAAGATGTGAAGGCTGATGATTGTACTTAAGTATGAAGCTACAGCAGCAGCAGGTTATCTGAGTTCAGCAAAAAATCTGAAAATTAACTAAACTGTTAGTTTGGCTCTAAGTCTTAACAAAATCGGTGTGCTCACATGTTTAAAGCTT